CCTGGAGATGACAGCTTCAAAGCTAACCTGATAACCGTAGAAAGCACGTAAGGTGGGGCCTGAGGGTTCTGCAAAGCCCCCTTCCTCACGCCCGACCTGGCCGGTAGCTCCAGAAGGACTTTGTCAGGGGAAGTGTCTCTGAAGTGGTACCGTGTCTGAGCGCCGACTGCTATGGGCACAGGCGGTGTCTGTGTCTCCGGCCCTCGTGTCCAACATGTCAGCGCTTCCTGCAGGGGCGAGGACAGGCGTGCCCACTTGTGAGAACCTGGCTGGGCTTAAGTGGAAGGGGTCAGTCACTCCAGACCAGGCAGCAGGGGTGGGGCGCGGAGCGGGGAGCGGTGACTTCCCTGACCTCTGTGACGTCGGGCGCTCCCGGGACGGAACACCACGGCTGCGTGGCGGTGTGCAGGTTTCCGTACACTGAAACTTTTACCTCAACTTAAAAAAGAAAAGATTTTTTTAAAAAAAAGGAGACTTTTTTTGTAAGGTTCAGCAATTTTCTACGACAGTCCGGCCCCGTGTGTGTCCCCAGCTCGTTAGGTCTGCTGCTGCTGCACACTCTGGAACGTTCTTCCCAGTTTCGTGTATATATAAATACTTTATTTATTAACATCATTGGTCATTTTTTAAGAAAAAAAGAAAAAAGAAGAAAAGAAAAAAACCGCAAAAGAAATGCATTTAAAAAAAAAAAGTGGCAGAGACGCGGGCCTTTGAAGTGGTTTGGACGTGACCCCAGGTGGACTTCTACAGGTGCTACAGTTTCCTCTTCCGGAGTCGGTGCTCAGTCATGTCTGTGCGCGCCAGCTCTTCTCTTCGGTCCGTTGGCTTCTTTGTTTTTTGTGGTTCTTTTTTGTACGGAGTTCGGAGACTCACAGGTATGGACGACTTCCAGCTGCAGCACATTCTCATTTCTTGTTTGTTTAGTTCTTTTGTACTTCCTTCTGGCCTCTTCAGGACTGTTTTAAAAGAAATCAATTTAGGGAACCCCCAGTTATATAACATAAACTTTGTAATCTGAGAGAAAAAAAAGTGTATAGTAAATCTAAGTCTTGATTTTTAACTTTCTATTGTAAAAAAATAATAATAATAATATACAGAGTTTAACAGAAGGTTATGTTTGGTTTGGTTTTTCCAGAGGCAGCCGAATGGCCTTTGAGTACAGGGCCGCCCCAGCTGCCTGACTAAGCCCTGAGCATCCTGCTTTAGCCAAGAATGTGAGGGCTGGCCTTCCAGGCGGAAACGGGGCGGTGCTCGCCCCCCAGCCTCCAGGGGATGGGCCGGGGCTGCCAGCAGCCAGCTGGCCAGGAGCGGTGGCAGTGTAGCCAGGCTCTCCTGCAGCTTGACCTTGGTTCAGGGGTGCCAGGGTCTCTGGGCCCCAGGAAGCTTCCTTCCCTGACGACAGTTCTCACAGTTAGCACAGAAATGACTAACACAGCACGTTCTCCCAGCCCTGGTGTGAGGCATTTGTGGCCTTGGGCATTGGGCGGTGGTCCCGTTGTTCGGTGGGGTTGTTTCTGCCGGCACTTCTGGACAGAGAGGGGGCATGGCCAACAGTATCCCAGTACGTTATGATTTTTAGAAATCATAAAATCTATTCAGACCCCAGCGCCAGCTTTGGTGAGGAAGTGGGTGATAGAGTACCATTTTTCTAACTGTTGGTGATTCTGACACTTGGTGAGTTTGGAGCCAGTTTGTTAAACTTTTTAAGTTTTGTTTATAATAAAAATATAAACCGATTTTAAACTTTCCATTTTTTAAAGTTACCCTTGTCTTTCAAAGGTATTTTCTAAACCATCTTCAAGGAAATATTTAACCTGTGACCTTGAGGACGTTCGCAGGATAGTCGACAGGCCCCAGGGCAGAAACTGACCGGCAGTGGGCAGCGAACACACATTCCGGGGACAGGCTCTGAGCAGAGGGCTGAGGCGCGCCCCTCGAGGCCACCTCCGCGGCACTGAGACAGTGGGTTCACCTGTGCAAAGTGCCGAGCAGGGGGTCTCGGTGCCTGGGGCTCAGCATAGCAGGAACTAGGCTCCCTATGAGCCAGGTCCTCCCCACGAGCCCTGCTCCCGAGAGTACCCGCAGGCGTGACGGCTCCTCGCTCAGCAGCTGCGGTTCACGGTGTGGTCGCTTTTTAAGGCTTTCTGTCCAGACTGCAGAACTGATTTAGAGTCCTGGGGAGTCTCGTAACAGCCCTGAGGTCAGATGGTGGGCGTTTGCCATTTCCACATCCTCTGTAGAGAACACTGCCGTCGCCTGGTTAGAAACATCCTCGTGCTGAGAACAGGGGAGCAGCTTTTCGGGGCTTTTTCAAGGGAAAAGGAACGCTTTGTTAATGCGAGTGGTCGTGGGCGGGCAGGGGTCTGAAAGGGCCCCTGGAGGCTGAGGGGCAGGCTGAGGGTGGCCACTGAACTCAGAGACCCTTCCTCACGCTGGGCAGCGTCATGGAGCTTACAGACTGTAAGCTACATTTCTTGTTTGTTCAACAACACATCTTCTGCAGCCCTTTGGGGAAAACGCCACCCACCGCGTAGGATTTGTCACGTCCAGTTCGTTAGTGCTGTTCCTTAATACCGGCATAACACTTCCAGAAGGTTTTCTTTTTTTATATTTAAAATGTTACTTTTCTGTATGATGTGCATGCAAGTTTACCGTAACTTTTCTTAAACTTTTTAGTGCCGTTTCTAGTATATTCCTGTAAATGTCAGTTACTGAAAATGAGTCCACTGTAAGTAGTTTTAGCTTGTTTATTGCGATGCTGGCCTCAGCACAACAGAATAAACATGGTAGAAAGTA